TGCAGCATCCAACATCTGCAGCATCCAACATCTGCAGCATCCAACATCTGCAGCATCCAACATCTGCAGCATCCAACATCTGCAGCATCCAACATCTGCAGGGTTCTTGTAGGAGCGTTCATGTAAATAATGTCACCGTAATCAATGGAGGGAAGGAAAGTCACAGATACAAGGTGTTTCCTAACATTCAGAGTTAGACAGGATCTGTTTCTGAAAAAGAAACCCAGTTTAACTTTCAGTTTATCAAGTTTTCCACATGGAGCTTAAAAGAGAGATGAGTCGACCAAGATACCCAAATATTTATAGGAATCAACAAACTCAATGGGGACACCATTTGAGGATGAGATCAGAGGAAGAACTGCTGGGACCAACTTCCTGTTTGAAAACCAACATCCCTTTGGTTTTATCAACATTTAGCACCAGTTTGAGACAAAACAAATCTGACTGGATGATGTCGAATGCAGACTGTAGAAACTGTAGAAACTGGAAAATCTTATCAACTGTTTTAGCACGAAAATAAACAACTGTGTCATCAGCATAGAAATGTAATATTTACTTTTGTTTTGACCTGAGAAATAAAACTTCAGAGTTAAAGAAGTTGGTGTCTCATGTGACTCGTTGTGAAACAAACTCTGAACTATTTTAACTCCATGTTTTGCTTGCGCTTCGGTGCAGACAACAAAGCTGATTCTGATTCACCACAATGTTTGAAGCTCGCTGCCTCTCAGTGTTTACTGCCCGCAGATAACTCCGGCTACATGTTGTGTGTTTGTGTTGCAGGACGACGGCCTGAAGCGACTCTCCTCTTCTTCTGCAGAATCTGCTGCCAACATCACATTCTGTGGTAAAACACACTCACTTCCTGTCAGTAGCAGAGGGTGTGAGTGACATCACTTCCTGTCAGATGACGCTTTCTGTCTGCTATGATCGTCACTCACTTCTGCCCCCTGCTGGACACACTTCAACACAAACCAAGTTTTAAATTTAATTTTTTGATTTGTTTGTTTTAACAGTTAGAACTTTTGAACATTTAAAGATTCAAAGTCAACACGACGAATGACAAAAACAAAAGTGAATCTATTAACGTCGTTCCAGAGCAGAGTATTCTGAGTGAGCACAGCCACGGCGTGAAACCACAAACCAGATGAACAGAAACCTGCTGATCTGTTTCTGTTGTCAGTTTTCACACCATCCGACCCGGTCACAGTCTGAGTTAATAAAAATACATTTCATTATTTCATATACGCCCACGGTCACGTTACAAGACACGACTGGAAACAACACTGGACAAGACCTGTAAAGGTGCACACTTGTCTATGGAAAGCCCCGTTGTTGACTGTACATGTCTGAGGAACCGTCTGTAGACCCCAAACAGGAGTTTACTGAGGTGCAGACCTAGATGTGGGTGCAGAAATATGTCTGCAACACTGAAGGTCTCACAGAAGCCTGGTGACCTGGGAGAGGTTTGGAACCAGCCAACCTGAGTGATCGGGACAGAAAGGCCTGAATCGGGAAGGTGACCAAGAACCCAACAGAGGAGGACCATCAAGATGGACACTCGTTTCAGCTGGACTCCACCAGTCAGGCCAATCAGGTCGCTCCATTTGACAACCACTCATCAACAAGACTCCCAAATCATCTACAACCTCAAACCCGGAGCAAAGAACTGTTGTGCAGTTATCCAATAATTTTCAGTCGGGTCATCTGGACAGTTTCTTTTTGAGAGAAACTGTCCAGATGACCCGACTGAAAATTATTGGATTTGGTACCTGGATGACTGAGCATGAACTTTGTTGTTGTGCAGTTAAGCTTCCTGTGCATACTCCTTTTCATCAGTTCAGAATAAAGGGACGAGACAGCCCCTGGTTTACTCCAGAGATAGCTGATCTCCTGCACAGGAGAGATCATCTTTGGGCCACAGAGAGAAAATCTGACTCAGACTCTGATTGGTTGAGTTGAGAATGCACAACTGCTGTCAAAGCAGCAAAACGCAACTATTTCTTATCTCAGACCTCCAAAAATCTAAATGACCCCAACAGATTCTGGAAAACCATCAAATCTCTCTCAGGCACCCCCCGATCATCTGACCTCCCATCACAACTTCTCATTAACTCTGTTCCTGTGTCAAATCAGCACGAGATCCTGAACTGTCTCAACAAACACTTTGTTGCTTCTGGTTCTTTATTTGACACAGTTACTAATGGAAGATCAGCCACTTCACTTAATAACCAAACTTCTACAAATCAAATCCCTCCTACAAGTCAATCCTCAGTTAATCACAGCTTCTCTTTTTCTCCATTCTCAGTCAGTGAGGTCAATAAACTGTTAAAAGATCTTGACCCTAAAAAATCTGCAGGTCCAGATGAACTTCCACCTTATTTCTTAAGGCTGGCTGCTCATATCATCACAGTCCCTGTGACCCACATCTTCAATCTCTCCATAAGACAAAACTCCATCCAGACACTTGAAAACAGCCTTTGTTCTTCTTTGCTGAAGGGAGGAGACCCCCCCTCACTGAACAACTATGGACCAATCTCTAAACTCTGCATTTTAGCCAAGGTTCTAGAAAAACTGATAAACTCTCAAATCAAAAATGACCTGGACTCATTTAACATCTTACCTCCACATCAATCTGGTTTCAGGAAACAACACAGCACAACCACTGCTTCACTGAAGGTTCTTAATGACGTTGTTGAAGCACTGGATGCTAAGGATTATTGTGCTGCACTTTTCTTAGACCTGTCTAAAGATTCTGACTCTGTGGATCAGAACATCTTGTGTCATAAACTCTCAGAAACTGGTTTCTCAGATCACACCATTGGAGACAATGTGTTCAACATAATGGTACTTCCTCCAGTTATTTAACAGTCAACAATGGTGTACCACAAGGCTCAGTCTTAGGACCCACCCTCTTTACAATAAACATAAGTAATGTAGATCAGAGCATCCCTAATGCATCCATACATTTCTATGCTGATGACACAGTTGTTTATTGTCGAGCTAAAACTGTTGCTAAGGCTTTCCAGCTTTTGAAATCTGCATTCAACATCATCCAGACTGATTTGTTTCACCTCAAACTTGTCTTAAACTCAGATAAAACCAAAGGGATGCTTTTTTAAATAGGAAGTTGGTCCCAGCAGTTCTTCCTCTGATTTCATCCTCAAATGGTGTCCCCATTGAGTTTGTTGATTCCTCTAAATATTTGTGTATCTTGGTCGACTCACATCTCTCTTTTAAGCTCCACGTGGAAAACTTGGTAAAGAAACTGAAAGTTAAACTGGGTTTCTTTTTCAGAAACAGATCCTGTCTAACTATGAACCCTGAGGAACGCCTTGTATCTGTGACTTTCCTTCTCTCCATTGATTACGGTGACATTATTTACATGAACGCTCCTACAAGAACCCTGCAGATGTTGGATGCTGCAGATGTTGGATGCTGCAGATGTTGGATGCTGTCTGTCATGGTGCACTAAGATTCATAACTGGCTGTGATTATCGTACCCACCTCTGCACCCAGTATTCACTGGTTAACTGGTCACCATTAACTTCACGCAGACTCTCTCACTGGTACATTTTCATCTTTAAATCACTTCCTGGTCTGCTGCCTTCATACATCTCCTCCTACATGTCTCTGTGTGAGTGCAGCTACAGCGTGCGCTCTCAGGACATCATTACCTGCAGTGTTCCCTCAGTGAGGACTGAACTAGACAAAAGGACCTTCTCCTACTCCGCTCCTGTTTCCTGGAATATCTTGTAAAAAGATCTGAAGCTCTCAACCTTTGACCTCTCTAAGTGGCTTCAAACATCTGTTCAGTTCATGGAAAAACCAACACAGACGTGTTCCTGTCTTTTTCATTCAACCTTTATTTCTACAGGTAAATCCCATTGAGCCTCCAGGACTCATTTACAAGAGAGACCTGATTTCAACAAAGAAAGATGAAACAATGGACAACAGCAACAACAATAAACAGTTATAAAAAGTCATACTGCAGTTTTTTTATTATTATTATTATTATTTATAACAAATAGGATGGCTAAAAGAAAAAAGTAACAAAAAACAGCTAGATTCTAAGACGAATGTAGAAAACTAAAAACAGGAACATGTCTGCATTGGTCACACTGCATTGTTTTTAGTTTTCTACACCGTCTTATAATCTAGCTTTTTTTTTCTTGCCAATTTTCCTTTTGATTGTCCTTTTGGTTGCTATTTTGTTTTGTTATGTTAAAAAAAAAAGAAATTTAAATTTGTATGCCTCTTTTGTGACTGTCTATTTTTGTCCTCATTCTTTATTAAAACCAGGTCTCTCTTGTAAATGAGTCCCTGAGGCTCAATGGGACTAACCTGTAGAAATAAAGGTGGAATGAATGAATATAAAGGTCCAAAGACACCCTTGGTTTTGGAGTTGTTTGGAAGAACCAGGTTTTGTCTGAGAACTGTTGGGTTTGAAGTGCACCAGGGTGTTGTGTTTGACACTCCCACGTTTGGAATGTCAAAGTTTTTTTTACGTTTATCTTACTGGTTTGGTGCTATGGCTTTATGAGGTTCACAAAGACCCCGATGACTGTCAGGAGGGACGGGGGACAGGGATTTGGTGGCAGAAGACCCCAACATGGCCTATGAGCTAGAACCCCCAAATCTTTCAGTCTGGATCTGACAAAGCTCCTCAGATATGATGTGAAATGACTTTAAGAAATAAAACAGTCCATCAGAGTTCGATTTGAAAGGATTCCTTTAGACTGGCTTAAGAAGAAAAGCCAACAGTTTGGACCGACTGGACGGGGTTCTGGTTCTGCTGGATGACTGATTTAGTCCAAACCGGGTCCTGACTCTCAGTGTCTCATTCCTAGAGGACGATCCAGACTACGACTTCCTCCTCACGGACCTGTCCTCCTCCGAGACACTTCCCCCTCTGCCCCCCGCCCTGCCAGAGAAAAGACATCGCAGCAGTGAAGGTGAGGACACACCTGTCCCACCTGATGATCTATCTGTCCATCTGTCTCATTGTCCCTTGTTTTCCATTTTAAACCAGGTACTGTCAGCTCTCAGAACTCGTCCTACTTTGGGTTTAATTCCACCAATTTGGACACAAATCCCACAAACTTTAATGACGTCTCTGGTCCTGGTGAACCTGCGTCCACCCCTCTGTCCCCCAGCAAGACTCCTCCCCCCCTGCCTGAGAAGAAACGACACAGTGAGCAGAAACAGTCATCAATTACTAAGAGAGACTGTAAAATCTTTATTAACCTGTCTCTGTCTCTCTGTCTGTCTGTCCCTCGGTCCTCAGTCCATCAGTACCTGCAGTTCTGTTCGTCCTACACCGATCAGTCTCCTGTCTCGTTCTACCAGAAGTCTAAAAACAACCAGCAAGAGTTAGACTCCACCCACCAGCTGTCAAACACTCACCTGAACACAGACTCCGCCCCCTCACCAGAGCACCCCTCTGTTCCTGCGCTACCACCGAAGAAGAAACAGCAGGTGAAAAAGAAATGAAGATTCAGCAGAAAGTCGGGAGTCTGTCTTTCAAATCCTTCTTCTGGTTCTGGTTCTGGTTCTGAGTCCTAATTCAGAAGGAACCGACTCAGAACGTTTTATTCATTGAGTTGAGATCAAACAAAATCCTCCAGGAAAATAAGAAACTGCTGCTGAAGAACTTTCTGTTAATTCAGTTGGAAGAGACAGAACCAGAACCGTCCAGAACCAGAACCATCCAGAACCAGAACCTCCCATTGAGTTTCATGTGTTTCGCTCAGCAGAGATCAGCTGCACACCTGTTCATGTTCACCTGGGACCTCATGCACAAACGGTGCGTACGCACAAAAACATGGCGTGCGCACGTTTCTATGGTTACTGGCGTGCGCACGTTTCTATGGTTACTGGCGTGTGCACGTTTCTATGGTTACTGGTCCGTTGGTGACAGAGGGGTGATGCTGGGTAACTGTTGATGGTGTGAAAACGATCATTGTGCACACCGGACACACACGATGAACAGTTAGTCCTCGTAACACGTATGAAATTAGATGAGTGGATATTAAAGACCTTTGACAACAACGGCTTTAGTCGTATTAGAGGATCTAACAAATGGAGCGATACTCAGAGAGCATGTATTTAGACAGAAAGGATTCATGCGTACGCACGGTGGCAAACATCTGGAAATATTTGTGCGTACTCTGATATCTCAGTTTAAGCATATGTCATATTTCAGCAGGAAATCCATGCAAGTCTTTGTACATGAGGCCCCTGGTGTTTTATTGACACCTGCAGATGTTCTCCTGATGTTCTGCAGATATTATTTTATGTTCTGTTTACATTGTTTACATTCTACTGATTGAACTGTTTTTGTTGTCACTGATGTTTCCTGTTATTGAATTTGTTCTGTTGTCATCAGGATATTGCTGACAGACAAACTGAGGAGAATGGAGACAGGTAAAACAAAGCCCTCAACAACCTAGCTCCATCTTATATTACAGATCTTATTGTTACATATTTTCCTAACAGAGCACTTCGCGCTCAGACTGCAGGTTTACTTGTGGTTCCTAGTGTTTCCAAAAACAGAATGGGAGGAAGATCTTTCAGTTCTCAGGCTCCTCTCTTGTGGAACTAACTTCCAGTTTCTGTCCATGAGGCTGACACATTGTCCAGTTTTAAGACTTTCCTTTTTGATAAATCCTATAGTTAGGGTTGGTTTTGGCTTCCTGATATATCTCTTAGTTCTGCTGCTATAGGCTTAGACTGCTGGATGACAAAATGACTTAATTTCCTCTCTCTGCTGCTGTACTTGTACTCTACCTGTTTGTATTTGTAATTATTTTTATGTGAACATGTTTTTGGTTTTTCCTCCTATAGAAAGTACACCTGGTCTATAGAAAGTTCACCTGGACTATAGAAAGTACACCTGGACTATAGAAAGTTCACCTGGACTATACAAAGTACACTTGGACTATAGAAAGTTCAACTGGACTATAGAAAGTACACCTGGACTATAAAAAGTACACCTGGACTATAGAAAGTACACCTGGACTATAGAAAGTACACTAGGACTATAGAAAGTACACCTGGACTATAGAAAGTACACCTGGACTATAGAAAGTTCACCTGGACTATAGAAAGTTCACCCGGACTATAGAAAGTACACATGGACTATAGAAAGTACACCTAGACTATAAAAAGTACACCTGGACTAGAGAAAGTACACCTGGACTATAGAAAGTTCACCTGGACTATAGAAAGTACACCTGGACTATAGAAAGTTCACCTGGACTATACAAAGTACACTTGGACTATAGAAAGTTCAACTGGACTATAGAAAGTACACCTGGACTAGAGAAAGTACACTTGGACTATAGAAAGTACACTTGGACTATAGAAAGTACACTTGGACTATAGAAAGTTCACCTGGACTATAAAAAGTACACCTGGACTATAGAAAGTTCACCTGGACTATACAAAGTTCACCTGGACTATAGAAAGTACACCTGAACTTGTCATTATGTGTCTGTTTCTACTTCCTGTCCTCTCAAACCCAGCTGGTTGAAGCAGATGGTCTCTCGTCCTGATCCTGGTTTTTCTGGAGGTTTCTTCCTGTTAAAGGGAGTTTTTTCTTCCCACTGTCTCCTCTGTTCTTGCTCAGGATGAGAGACTGTGATGAAGTGAAGATTCAACACAACCTGCTGCTTCCTCAGACAGAGAACTTTACTAATTGTCTTTTTATGTATATGAATGTTTTTACAGTGCCCTGATAAAACTTCTGTTGTGACTTGGAGCTACATAAATTAATTGAATTAAATTAAAACATCATACACCTGTAAACACACCTGTTCAGATCCTCAGGTGTTTTTCTGTTCCACAGTTTGGAGGGAGTTCTTCAGCAATGGAGCAGTGAGGAGCAGGAGGAAGTGGAGGAACTGCTACTGACAGACAAGCAGGAAATCCTTCGAAAAATCACCATGAAGTCCGACGTATGGCCCCACCCTCTCACCTCTCTGCCTCATATCATTAAGCTCACCTGTGCTCTGACTCTGACCTCTGCCTTCTTAGGAGGAGGAGGGGCCAGAGGTGAAGGCTGCGTCTCCAGACATCCTATTGGTCCACGCCACAGAGTCCGGCAGCAGCGGTCAGTTTCACAACACGAATTAGAAGCAACCGAGCAAACGTGTTCTGATTATCGCCTGAAACCATGTTCAGACTGTGCAATGGTAATACGCCAAGGTTCAAATGAGACAGAACCAGACAGGAAGTGTTTTTTCAGGGCCTTCACTGCAAATTCCTGCAGGTTGGGTTCAGACAGAGAAGGGAGAAAGAACAGTAGGAACTTTTCACTCAGGAACTACCTGAGTTTATCAGGTGAGTAAACTCTGTGGAACGTGGTTGTTTTTCCAGGACATGACCTGTACCGCGAGGCCTTCATCTGCACCTACAGAGGCTTCATCAGGCCCACTGACACCATCAGCAAACTGCAGCACCGATATCCTCAAACACTCAGTTGTTACCTGCACAGGTCTGAGGTCACTTTATATGCAGACAATCTAGTTCTGTTTCTTATCACCAGGGACCTCATGTACAAAGGCTTGCGTGGGTTTCCACCCGAAACATGGCGTATGCCTAAAATAAAACAACAGTGCGCACAAATACATCCAGATGCATGAAACCATGCGTACACATGAATCCAGCACACTTCCTGTGTACGTTCCAATCAATGTGGAATTGGGGGCGGCTGTGGCTCAGTGGTTAGATCAGTCGTCCTCCAATGTGAGAGTTGGGGGTTCGAATCCACCAGCGGTCACATGTCAAAGTGTCCCTGGGCAAGACACTGAACCCCTCATAGCCTCTGATGTGTGTCCCATCAGTGTTTGAATGTGATCTAAAGCTCTGATGAGTCTCTCTAGAATGATTTGTTCAATTAGCTTTGTAGAGATCTAGTATAGAGCTGTATGAATGGGTCAATGAGACAGATTGTAGTAAAGAGCTTTAAGTATCTTGAAATAAGATAGAAAGGCGCTATATAAGTACAGTCCATTTACCATTTAATTGAGCGCGCATGAGGGAATACCTGGCTCCTCCCTCGGCACACGTCCATTTAAATATGTAAATATATTTAAATCTGTCCAGCACTGGAAGAATCTCCTCTGCACCATCTTAAAGAAAAAGAGGAGCTTCACAGAATGTGACTTGGAGACGAGGTAGAGGCTCGTACAATCATTCCGTTTGTCTCGCTGTCCTCTGGCAGTAGCTCCGAGCTCCAGGGGAGTGAGTGGGAACAAATGGTCAGACATATTAGGACGATGAAATGAATTTAGTCACCAAGAAGCCCTCCGTCCTGCACCGTGCCAGCTGGTACTCTGTTGCTGCCATGCTGTTCAGCAGAATGAATGAATCGAGCGTTGAACCAGACCACCTCTCCACCATGCTGGTTAGTTGCTTCTGTGCATCTCATATGATTTACACACTGATTAAATGAGAATACTTCCTGTTAACATAAACATCTTCATCCTGTGATGGTGCTTTTATAGCGATGTGTGTGCAGTCTATAGCTCTGATTAAATCAGGAAAAACATCTGTCGCTGCATATTGTGCTTTAATGTTGCCCTGTTCAGCTGCATTGTGAGTAATTTGATATTCCTGGTTGATATACTCATTCAACCTTTATTTAGACAGATAAGTTACACTGAGCCTAGAAGACTCATTTACAAGTGAGACCTGTTTAGACAGACAAAAAGTGGTGAAACTGGACACATGTAGGAGTTGAGGCTCATTCCATCCACACAGCTGGCATGGCTCGGCTCAGGGTGGACTGGCTCAGTCCTGATCGGTCTGCCAGCTCCCTCTGGAATGACCCTGATTCTATAGGAACCCCATTGTGGTCAGCAGCTGTATGTGCACGGGCAGCGCACGGCTCCTCACAGTGTCACACTCCAAGACCAGCTGCAGCTCCAAGCACAGTTCCAAAAAGATTGACCTTGGAAGCCTAAAACGTCTGATGATCCAGTCGTCATCGTGGTCCAGACCATCCTCTCTGTCTCCAAATACACGCGCTCTGAGTTTCACTCCATTTGTTAAATCCTCTAATACGACTAAAGCTGTTGTTGTTAAAGGTCTTTTATATCCACTCATCTAATTTCCTACGTGTGGATGTTTTCATTGTTGATCGTGTGTGTCCGGTGTGTACGATAGTTCTATTTCATATAAGCTTCGCCCTTTAAGGCTGTCGCTTAGTGGGTTTATCCCGTCATGCGAAGCATTACATTGAAAAATTTAGTCCACGCCCACCTGCTGTGTGGGCCCCACCCGGTCCGTATAAATTACGTTGAGCGGGTAATCGGATCCCATTTCTCTTCAGCGAGCTATAGCACTGTCAGAAGAACGAAGAAGGAAAGTTGTCTAGCTGACCAACCTTTGTTACGACTGCCTGTGACCGCCACGTCAACCTCCTGTCGTCCCGGTGAGTCCTCCTCCCCGAGGAGAAGTGACGAGCAGTCTTGTTTCAAGGTAAGCGCCGAGGAGTATTTCTCAGTGGCAGGTCGCTACACGCTGGACGACGCCATCTTGTAATTTTCCTCTTATCGCCGACCCTCGGAGCGAATCGGATGGTTCCTCTGGGACAGGCGACGTCAGCAGCAGCCCCCCGCTGCTCATTCCCTCTTGGAGAGCGTAGTGTCGGTAGAGGGGGGCTGAGCGAATGCTCACCCCCCCTCACCTTGTTTCGCATCGGCGACCACACCGCTCCCAGCCGCCGGTGCCCCCCTCTGGAGTTGGCCCGGCATAATCCAGGAGGCGGCTGACATGAAGGGACTTTTTTCCGTCCCTCGCCTCCCCCGCCAGTTCAGATGATCCAGCGGGAAGGTTTCTGGGCTCCACTCCGGCTCGCCATCCTGATCCCATCTGGCCTCGTTTTCCCAGCGGTGACGTCCTACTGGGACGAGGCTGCAGCCGGTCTTGGTAGAATAGGGCGCCGGTTCCCACATCCGCGCTCATCACCAGAGTGGAGGGGTTTCACCGAGCGGAAATTCCCTCAGTGCCCCCGGGAGCCGAGCCTTGACGGAGGCTTTTTCGGAGCAAAGATGTCCAGGTTGGACCAGCGTCCTGCGCCTCCGGATAGCACATGCGCGTAGCCAGGGGGGGTTCGGGGGGTTCGAACGAACCGCCCACTTTGCCAATGAAGTCCCACCTACAACTCCCGCGAGATATAGAACTGCGAGGTGAAGACGACGTTCACTCTGTCCTGGCTTGGAAGGCAACACGGTGGATTCAAACGGTAAAATTACATTGTGGTTTTTGTTTATGTTGTTAGAGTTAAGGAGTGGTACTGTGCCTTTAAGAGGATGACGTCTTTCATTCTTCTTCGGTGTTTTTTTTTTTTTTTTGTGTATGTTCCGGCGGGACTCGGGAGTACCGAAGTGTTCGTTCGTGTCTGGGATGAGTTCTGAATAGAAGACTGGACACACACGCTATTCCCCTCTCAGTGTGTTGCTCTTTCTCCACTCACAACCGCCTATTTGGTAACACAGATTTACCTCACACAGCAGTGTTTTAACTAGCTAGCTAATTAGCTTGTTTACACATTTGAAGTTATGTGTACCACCGCCAATGAACCAATCAGAGTAGTCCTACAGGTCCACTTTTTCTTCAAACGAACCGCCCCTCATAAAATCCTGGCTACGCCTATGGATAGCATAACCAGACGGTGACATCGCTCTCCAACCGAGCTCACCAGCATGCGTTCCAGGTGGCTGCAGCGAACAGCACATTACGCTGTTGGCGTACAAAATTCAGAGGCGGGAGGAGACGTACGCTTCCTCTGCAGGGCAGCTGACGTCATCCTCAACCGGTGCGCCTCTTTGTTGTCTGCCGGTCTTGCATCACAGCCGGAGGACGAGGTTTCCCAGAGGTTCACCTGGCCCGTCACTACACCTCCCTCTCGGAGGAGCTGCAGAAAGCTTTTTGTTGGAGGGCCCTCATCAACGAGGGATCATTTTAAAGACGCTCCACGGCTGCACAACGCCTCCCCGCTCTGCTATGCCAGCCCTGCCCATCAGACATCCCCGTCATCCGGAGGTTCAGTGTTTCCCGGAGATTGCCAACAGGTGGCGCCCTAGGACAACAAACCGCAGAGCTCAGGGGAGATGACTCAATGACGGTTTGCTGGATGTGTGTGAAGATGACACGAATGTGGGAATAAAACATCATTTTATGATGAAAGTGCCTTTTTAGCCAGTCTGTCTGCTCGGATGACCTGACAGCGGCTCCGTCACACACACCCCACACGAATGAGCCGGTGGCCTTTTAAAGATTGTTTTCAATCACCATCGCTCAAACAAGGCAAGACGCCCGCATGACACAACAGTCATAAGTGAATGTGGCCCGCACAACGAGGCTCAGTGGAATAACTCGTTTTTTTTCAGCCCAAGCTGCACACCCCTCATGAAGCGATGCCAACGCGCGCTCCTGCAGCGCAAGCAGCCTTCACCCATACGGCGCTGCGTTATGAAGGCGCGCACGCAGCTTCTCAGCGCTCGCCGCTCACGTCAGCATAAACGTGAGATCGCTGTACGAGCCCAGTAACATATCTCGCACTCGGCAGGAGCGACACGCGTCTCACCGCAGTGGTGTCAAACGCGCGCTCCCGCGGCGTCAACAGTTTTCACATGCCTCTCCTCAACACACACCGTTCCACATAGACATGAATGTGGACCCACAACCAAGCACAGCACACAGACGCGCTCAGAGCCGAGCTTCGCCTCTGGGTCACGCAGAACACACTCCCACGGCTCATGACAGCGGTTGAGGCAGTGGATTGACTGACATCTGTTAAAACATGACGCACCACCTAAACGCGCGCCCACTCCATGGATGTTACGCAGAGTGGCTGCGAGCTTTCTCGCCAGGCATAGATGGCCAAAGCTGATAGCAGGGGTTACGTGTTGCAACTTGCAGACCGACCCCCTTCCCAACGGACCGGAGGAACGAGACCGATGTGGACCTGTCAGTTTTTCAACAAGGCGATCGTAGGCAGATCGCTTCACATGTCGGCTCAGGCTCAGATGTTGACGTCACACCTGCCAATTCTGGGCTTCGCTATAAAATTGGAAAAGTTCGATCCTCCCGGCCCAGACGATTGACTGACTGATTGAAGAGGCAGATGTGATGTCCAGGGGCGGTCCGCGTCACGGGGAGTGGACCCTCCACCTCGGTCTGATGGCCCAGACATGGCAGGAATTTGGCAAAGCGGCCGTGGACCTGTTTGCGACATGAGGAAACGCTTAGTGTCAACTATGGGCTTCACTGAGCCCACGAGACGAACCACCGCTGGGGGGTGGACGTGTTCGCTCATAGCCCATGGCCCAAAACGATTTCACACGTTCCCCCGCCGCCTCTGATATTACGGTTTTTTGAACCGAGTCCAGGAGGAGGGATTGACAGCTCTCCTGGTGGCTCCCGAGCGCGTGAACGCACCATGGCTCCGGTTCTACGACGCCTGTTATCGGGGCGCCCGTGGAAATTGTTGTGGAGGGAGGATGCTCTCCTCCAGGCGGGAGGAGCGATCAGGAGTTACCCATAAATAGGCCAGCACCTGTGGGTCTGGCCGCATGTCCACTAGGTGGTGTGCTGTCTTTTCTGCAGCAGCTGATGAACGGAAATTTGGCGTTCAGCACGATTAAAACATATGCTGCAGTCATCTCTTCCTAAAACGTATGCTGCAGTCATCTCTTCCTGTCACAAAGGTTTTTGTGGAGACAGAACAGTTTTTAATCATCCGCTGATGGAGCGTTTTGTAAAAGGTGTACAGAGAAAGGTGTAGAGCCCACCTCATGTCCATTAGGTGATGTGCTGTCTTTTCTGCAGCAGTCGATGGACAGAAATCTGGCGTTCAGCACGATTAAACGTACGCTGCATCCATCTTTTCCTGTCACAAAGTTTTTGGTGACAGAAGAGCTTTTAATCATCTGCTGATGAAGCTTTTTAAAAGGTGTACAGAGATGCAGGCCTGTTTTCACACCCACTTGTTCCACAGTGGGATTTAACGCTGGTCCTGCAGGCCTTGATGATCAAAGCTCCATTTGAGCCTCTGGATCAGGTTCCACTTAAATTCTTGTCTCTTTAAACAGCCCTGCTGCTGGCTTTAACATCCACTAAGAGGGTGAGTGTTTTATCTGCCCTCTCTGTCACTCCGTCATGTCTCAGAATTCAGGCTGACGGCAGCTCAGCTGATTTAAGACCGAATCTAGTTTTATGCCTAAAACATCACAAGTTCTTTTAAATCAAGAGTGATATCGTTGGAGGGGTTCCCCCCCCCCCCTCACACACAGATCAGAAGAAGTAGCGTCTTTTCATCTCCTCTGTTCGGTGCGGGCGTTGACGTGTTACATAGCGCGCACAGCTGCAATGCGTCAAACTCAACACCTGTTTGTGCATTATAGAGATGCATCTGCAGGTCGCCCGTTATCCACCCAGTGCTTGTCACACTGGCTGTGTGAGGCCATTTCTGAAGCCTACAGAGCATCAGATTTAGAGCCTCCTGTCAACCTCAGGGCACACTCGACCAGAGGTATTGCATCTTCGACTGCCTTGCATAATAGTATGACAATGCAGGATATTTACACTGTGGCCGCGTGGTCAACACCCTGCTCATTTATTCACTTTTATCTATGTGATGTGACGGCTCGTTCCATGACACATTCTGTCCTTAGTGTTTACAGAATGAATATTGTTGTTTCATGGAACTCCTTTTTACTCACATCTGTCTGCATGCATTACAGTGTGAGATGTTGTTATCAGTCACAAGTTGTGATTGTTATTTTGGTTCTATTGTCACTAATCAGTTCACGACTATTGTTACCAATCAGTTCATTTGATTAATAATCAGCTCTCCTGTTATTATTAATCTGTTCATACGGTTCAGCCGTAAACCGGTTGGTTCATGGCTCTTTTCAGCTTTTTTCCCTCCCCGTTGAATTTTTTTCCGGGGCGTTCATGCATTCAGAACGCATAGTTACACAACATGCGTCTGTGCATGGCACACATAATTACGCAATGCGTAATTACGCACATGGGGAGCTGAGTGACAAGACGTTTTTTGGGCAAGCTTCTGCTTCATACTGTGTTCAAATGGACCCAGTGAGGCGAGGACCACATCCGCTTCGCCCTTAACCCACTAAGCGACAGCCTTAAAGGGCGAAGCTTATACGAAATAGAATGTTGGTTATGTACTGTAACCCCAGATTCTATGAGTATAAGCGTAGCCCTTTAAGCGTCGGGCCTCACTGGCTCCTACGTGGCTGAAGAAAAAGCCATTTGGGAGCCGATTACCCGCTCTTAACGTAATTTATATGGACTGGGTGGGGCCCACACAGCAGGTGGGCGTGGACTAAATTTTTCAGTGCGATGCTTCGCATGACGGGATAAACCCACTAAGCGACAGCCTTAAAGGGCTACGCTTATACTCATAGAATCTGGGGTTACAGTGCGTAACCAACGTTTTCACATCATCAAGTTTCCCAGCATCACCTCTAAGTGTCACCACTGGACCAGTAACCACAGAAACGTGCGTACGGCAGCCATGAAGTTGGCGTGGGCTGAACACATTTCCATACACATTTCATTCTCGATACATCTGAAGTTTTGCATGAAAAAGGGCGTTCGCCACGTTTGTGTGTTCACATCCTTTGTACATGAGGCCCCAGGTGTTTCTAAAATTGTGTCCCTATTCTTCATTTGCTTTGAGTCCTTAACCATCAACACGTACAAAAGCCTCTGTGAACGACAAGAACCTGCAGATCTGACAGCTGCTAAACACTCTTTTCAGCTGCTGGTCAGAGTGGTGGACGACCTCAGGTAAGATGCACCTGAGACATTCAGACCTGTCAAAGAAACTGTTTCCAATCTGAATGTAAACCCACAAATTGTTATTCTGATCCCGTGTTCTCTGTCTGAATACCACCGAGCAGTGCCATAGAACTGGACTCTGATTTACTGTTGGACCTGATGGACCTGGTGTTCAGACTCCTGATTGGTGGACAGCTGGGACTGGCTCACCTGCTGCACTCCAACATCCTGTCCAAGATGGAGAAGAGGTGGAAGCTGCTCGGCTCTCCTCAGTCCCTATGCCCACTTGCTGCCAAGGGCGTGGCTGCCAGGTAAGCACTCTCACCTGAGAGCACAACATGCTACCCTGAGGTTGGTACTTTTACAGCCATGGTTTCGTCCAACAGACCAGGAACACTCTTGGACTTCAGGAGTCAGGATTTAGCAGAACAGCTGACTCTGCTGGACTCACAGCTCTTCTACAGGATCGAGGTGCACGCCTGTCTACATCACTGTCGGTCTCATGTGTTCTACTTATCCCTATCTCACCTGTGTGTCTCACCTGTTCATACCTTAACTGTGTAGCTTTCGGAGGTGTTGCTGTGGTCCAAAGAGCAGAATGAGGAGAGAAGTTCCCACCTGACAGAGTTCACTCAGCACTTCAACAACGTCTCCTTCTGGTAAAACATCTTTGTGACTCCCAGAACACAGAATCTGCTGCAACATGTTTGTGCTATGGTTCCTACAGTTGTTCCATTCAATTCAGTTCAGTTCAGTTTATTTCTAAAGCTCCAAGTCACAACAGAAGTTGTCTCAGGGACTGAACAGAAACATGCATCTATAAAATAATAATTTAACATTATTCATCTGAGGAGCAGCTTTGAGTTTAACTCCATCACAGAACTCTCATCTTGAGTTTTGGTAGGAGTAGATACACAATGGCAGGTCAAGAATCACATGTTAAGATAGAAATAGTATCAAATGAAAATTATTCAATTTTAACAATTCATTTAAGGAAATGAGGTCGGTTTGTCCTCTAGTAGTCTAAGTCTATAGCAGCATAACAAGCCAACCCTAACTATAGGATTTATCAAGAAGGAAAGTCTTAAACTGGACAATGTGTCAGCCTCACGGACAGGATAAGGTTTCCATAAGGTTTCTACTGTGGTTCCTACAGTCACGCCCACTTAGGATTAAAATCCCCAGATATTGCAACAAACGCACTAGGGTGTTGTGTCTGTAGCTTAGCAACCTCGGAGCTGGTGACATCACACGGGCAACAGCATTGGGTGGAATGTAAACAGTTGCCAAAATAACACTGGTGAAGTCTCTTGGCAAATAATATGGACGACAACTTCGTGCTAACAGTTCAATATCTGGAGTGCAGAGATGACACTTCACAGTAACATGTCCAGGATTACACCATCTGTTGTTCACAAGCGCTGCCAACCCACCTCCTTTTTTTGCCACTCCTCTTTATATGTTCTAGAACTGCACCGCTCCAGGTGGCTGCATGTTGGAGCAGCTCTGTTACTTTCATTCTGAGATTTTGCTTTTGGAAACTTTAATTCCTCTTTTTCTGGATGTAAATCACATTTTCTGGATGATTGTTTCCTCTGGTATCAGATGCTGTGCAGCTGGAAGGATTTTTACTGAAACTTTTTAGTTTTGGACATTTGTTATGATGCGTAACCATGGCAACAAGACAGTTTTCTACAACCAACAGCAGCTGATTAACATCACAAAAGCTCAAATAATATCTCAGCTACAGCCCCAAATCTCAAATGAGTTGAAAAGGAGGGGTCGTGGAAGCATTCTCATCTACCTGCCAGCTGTGCTCGAGTGCCTGACCACTGAGATCCTGGAACTAGCAGAAAACATGGGTCATGACAGCAGATAGACAGGATCGTCCCTCAGCACCTACAGTTGGCTGTCTGCAGCGACGAGGAGCTCGGCAGACTGCTGGGAGGAGTGGCCATCGCTCTGGGAGGAGTTCTGCCCAGCATTCGGGCGGTCCTAGAGCCCGGGGGAACCGAGAGGCCAGCCGAGTCTGGGTGGACGGATCGGACGGCATCTGCAGCCAGTTTCTTAGGATCCACTGTGGGATGGACCTTTACAAGAGATCCTTCCTGTCTACAGCATCAGCATCTATAACATCTCTTAATGAAATGAGGATAACGAGTTACAACAACAAATAATTTCCCTCTGGGATTAATAAAGTATTTTTGAATTGAATTGAATTGAATTGAATTGAAATCTCTATCTGCTCGTATGGTCAGAAAGCCTGGCAGAGAAACGCTGGAGTCGGGATTTGATCCTGCAGCCATGTCTCAGTGAAACACGTAACACTGCATTCACCATACTCTGGATGAGTCCTTGTTAGGGCCTGAAGTTCATCCAACTTGTTTCCCATCGATCTCACATTGCCCATCATGTCGATGGAAGAGATGGTTTGAACTTCATTCTCCTGTCCCTCTTCTTTGCTCCTGCTCTGCATCCACGACCCCTCCTTTTCAACTCATTTGGGATTTGGGGCTGTAGTTGAGATATTATTTGAGCTTTGGAGATGTTAATCAGCTGTTGGTTGTAAAAAACTGCCTTGTTGTCATGGTTACGCATCATAACAAATGTCCAAAAGCAAAGATATTTCTGTAAAAATCCTTCCAGCTGCACAGCATCTGACACCAGAGAAAATAATCATCCAAAAAAAAGTGATTTACATCCAGAAAAAAGAGGAATTAACGTTTTCAAAAGTAATATCTCAGAATCAAAGTAACAGAGCTGCTCCAACACGTTGAGCAGCGCAATTCTAGAACTGATGAACTGATTCTAGAACTATGGGTCCTATTGTGATTTTTGCTGTGGTTTCTTTTGTTGGTTGCTGTTGTGGTTCTTGCTGATTAACAAAGATCTGGAGCCTCACTCCCGACCAGTACAAGTCGCTTCTAACTGCTCATCATTTGCCGGTTTGTGATTTCAGGGTTCGTTCAGTGATCATTGTTCAGGACAAACCTCAGGACAGAGAGAGGCTGTTGCTGAAGTTCCTGAAAATCTTAAAGGTAATGATGATGTCATAGGCTCTGAAAGGTTCAGACTGTAATACAGAAACTTTAATGCTAAACATGTTTGTAGTGGCTTGACTGAACGTCCATGCATCCATCCATTATCTTTTACCCGCTTCTTTCTTTTGATGTTCTTTTGAACATCAAACACTGAAATCTTTCTGCTCTTGACCTTTCATGCTAACAAGGTTGGTTAAGCCTAGAATAGATCAAGGTAACCTCAGTCTGTGAAAGTCCATGTTGTCCTCCGGTTGTGATGTTTTTTCCTTCTCTGAGTTTCAAAGCATAACATTTTGCTTTGACCAGACCGATCACCTGATTGTTGTTTGTGCTCTTACATCATATGTGATTTGTGTTCCTGCAGCATCTCAGGAAGCTGAACAACTTCAACTCTTACTTGTCCATCCTGTCAGCACTAGACTCTGCCCCCCTGCGACGCCTCGACTGGCAGAGAAACACCTCAGAGGTGGTTTTGTGACTGTTGGTTTTATTACCGGTATTTCTTTCACCTTGTTCACTAAATAAAAATGTTTTTGCTTATTTTTGTTTCAGACACTGGAGGACTTCAGCTCATTGATTGACAGCTCATCTTCTTTTAGAACCTACAGAGCGGCGCTGGCTGAGGTGGAACCCCCCTGTATACCTTACCTGTAGGTCAATACTCCATCATAAACACTTACTGTAGTTCAATACTCCATCATAAACACTTCCTGTAGGTCAATACTCCATCATA